TGTAGACGTAAAAATTCTTAAATGCTAGCCGACCAATTTCAGCAGCAAATTAAAAGAACCGTACACCATCATTAAATAGAATTTATCCGTGGGATGCAAGAATGTCTCAATATATGCAAATTAATAAATGATAAATCACATCAACAGAACAAAACTACAATTCATATGATCATCTCAATTGATGCAGAACTATTTGACAAAACTGAGTATCTATGATAATAATGCTCAACAAATTAGGTATAGAAGGAAAGTATCTGGGTGTAGTGGGAGCGAAATCCTCACTTATAATTCAAAATAATAAGTTTGTACCCACACAAATTTGGGGGCAGAGTGTGTACATTGTGAGTGGGTGAAAAATTCCAAGACAAAAATGTAAGTTAAAGTGGTCCAAGTCAGTATAGCACTCCTGGAAACCTGGCCAAACTAAATGTAAACTCTCTCTGGGGAAAGTAGCTTAATCCTAGGAATCTTATCATTCCTAGAGCTAAACCTCCAAGCACCATGAGGGTACGAAGTCACTGAACACACAAATAAACAAGCTGCCATAAAGTATACAAACTTGCAAAGATGACTGATAATGGAATGTTGTTACAGTATATAAAATGAGTATATTTCATTTATTTTTAAAAACAGAAAAGGGGATTTAAAGTATAGAGAAGGAACAAGAGAGCAGATTCACCACAAAGTAACTACTAGATTAGTATCTGATTTCTCAACAGCAACAATGAGAGCCAGAGACAAAAAATACTATCTTCAACAGAATAAGAGACAATAACTGTCAACTTTAGCCAGTGGAATGATTCTTAAAAAATGAGGGTGAAATAAAGACATTTTCAAACAAATAAAATTGAAGCAGTTTGATATTACTAGATCCTGTATTTTTGATCCGTTTCTGGATAAGAAATGGCTACAAACTCAGTGGCTTAAAAGAAAACATGTGTTGTCTCATGGTTTCTATGGGTCAGGAGTCTGGGTACAGGTTAGCTGGGTCCTCTACTCAGGATCTCACCAGGCTGAAATCCAGGTGTCGTTCAGGGCTGCAATCTCATCTGGGCTCCTAGTCCTCTTCCAAGCTCACTGGTTATTGACAAAATTCTGCTCCTTGCAACCGCAGAACTGAAGCCTCGACTGCTAGAGGTCCCGTGGCTGCTCCACAACGGGGCAGTGTGCTTCTTCAAGGTGAACAGGAGACTCTCATACTTCTGAGAAAGCCTGAATCCTTTTAAAGGGCTCACCTGATTAGGTCCGGTCCACCCAAAATAACCTTCCCTTTGATTAACTCAAAGCCAATATATTTCTTCAGTCTTTACCTGGCCAACCTATTTAAAATTTCAACCCCAGCCCCTCATCATGGCACTCCCTCTTTCCTTTCTTGCTTCTTTTCTGTACACAGCACTCATGCCTATGGAATCTTATGACATATTTGTGTTTATTATGCCTCTCACTCCACTAGAATATACACCCCTTGACTTCATGGACACTTGTCTATTTTATCCATCACTGTAATCACTGTAGGACAGTAACATATAGAACAATGTCTTGATCAGCTGACATGCCACAAACACATACACACATTTATTTATTTATTTGTTTATACAATTGTTGGATATTTTATTGCGAGTCAAGAGCACAGATTCATCTTTTTGTTACAACTGCTGCTTTTTTTAAAATTACAGAAGTATAGTCAATTACAATGTGTCAATTTCTGGTGTACAGCATAATGTCCCAATCATGTATATATATTTGTTTTCATGTTCTTTTCCATTAAGGGTTATTACAAGATATTGAATATACTTCCCTGTGCTATAAAGAAGAAATTTGTTTCTTTTATATATAATGGTTATCATTTGCAAATCTCAAACTTCCAAATTTATCCCTTCCTACCTCCTTCCCCACACGTCCATAACCCTAAGATTGTTTACTATTTCCTCAAGTCTGTTTCTGTTATGTAGATGAGTTCATTAGTGTCCCCTTTTTTCTTTTTTTTAGATTCCACATATGAGTGATATCATATGGTATTCTTTCTCTTTCTGGCTTACTTCACTTAGAATGATGATCTCCAGGTTCATCCATGTTGCTGCAAATGGCTTATTGATTTAATGAATAAATTAATAATGACACAAACTTTGGAAAGCTTTGAGGAATGCAAATAAAGAAAAATGTAACTGAAAGAGGTGAAGAAAACTGTGGTAAACATGAAAAAATATTGTTCATTCACATACACACAAACACACACACACACACACAGCCAAATTGTTCTGGCTTTCATTACATCAGCAAACCACTTTACCAGATACATAACATAATCGCAGGAGTGCACTGCCATCGTGTTCAGGAGTCTCCGCACACTCAGGAGGAGGAGATTATGGAGAATGTGCACACAAGGGGGTAGGGACCTTGGGAGCCACCTCAGAAGTCTGTCTACCACGAATCCCCATCAAAGGAACCTCTAAAGCACATACTTCAAGATGGAAGGAAAATAATCACAAACAGAAGATCTGAGACATGAAAAAGAAGAGGGAGCAGAGGAAATACGAAACACATGGGTAAGTCGACGCAAATATCAGCTACTGAGAATAACAAAATACCTGATTTGCGAAATTAATGAAATAAGAAAATTAAAATATCAGCTTACAAAAGTATACAAATTCAAAGGGAATAATTATTCTTGAAGAACT